TTACTTTAATATTTAAATTTTTTATGCTTTCTTCATCTTTGCTCACTTGAGCTTTCATTTTCTTCTTGAAGACACTTAATAATCAAATTGAACAAATAAAATCCTTAAGTTTACATGGAATATTTGGTTACTATCCTTGGCATTATGGAGATTGTGGAGCTCTCAGACTTAGGATTAAAAGCCTTGACTCTTTGGGACCATGTGACTTTGTTGTTATTTTGTCTGGAGTTCTCGGGGTTTACCCCAAGACATTGGGTTAATTTTCTTTGTGTGCAGGTTATTCTGATTATGTGCTTTGTCTGTGATTGGGAATTCCTCTGTATACATGTGTTACTCTTCCAAAAAAATTAGAAGACTTAATGCATCTGAAGCTTGGTATTCTTAAGAGGTTTAGTATCTTTGTTTTCTTGGTTTCAATCCAAAGGACGGGAATTCTACATTGACTTCATATGTCAAGTGTTGGCTTCTTATTGGTTAGATGGTTTTTTCCCCTAAATTTTACCTTATGCTTTAGGATAGTCCCTTCATCTCCTCTCATCTTCTTTAATTTCAAAAATCTTCTCCCACCTTATCAAAACTCTTATTGTTTTATAACTTGAACCGCTTTCATAATAAACTTAGACTTAGGTCCATGCATTTTCAAAAATATTTTCTTAAATCAAACTTAAACCAATATAATTATACTTTGATATTTTTTTGTGAGAAGAATAAATGTCAATCAACCTCATTCAAACCATTTTGGCCACTTTGGCTTTTTACGTTAAAATTTTCTCAAAAAGGTTAGACACTTGTCAATCCTTGTAGTGATGCAAGCTACTATACTTCTACGATATGTAGTGAAGTGAGATATTTTCCACTTGGGTGTCGAGTGAGTCTTTGTTGATTTTAAAATCCACTTTGAGGTGACACAAATTCTCCTTTCTCATAATCGTGGGGAGTAAGTAAGTTCATGGGGAGTAAGTAAGTTCTTCCACTCGGATATGATGATGGTGTCTCTTCTCTTAAAATTAACCAACACACTTATGTTTTAAGTTTTTTAAAGGAGAACTATGAGTAACCTCATCCCCTATAGCACGAAAGGTGGTACGTAGGAAATAAAGATTCGCAACCGCAATGGGTGCAAAAATAGAAAAAAATACTTCTCTTCTCACCTCCACCATCTATTTTTGTATACAACATTTATAGCCAAAATATATAAATTTTCAAAGAGGTTCCTGAAAAGTACCGTATATGTTTAGGGTGCTAATATCTTCCCTTTGCACAACCAACCCCCGTACCTAGATTCTCTCCCTCTTTTCTTTGGGTTATTCACTCTTTTCCCATTCCTCTAGAAACAATAAAGCGCGGTGGCGATTTTTATTTGATTTGTGCGAGTTAAGTCAATCTAATGGCTTAGTCTTAACATTTCTACCGCTACAGTAAGTATTTAGCTTAATTGTGCATGTTTGTTTGAACTATACATTTGTTTTATTTTTCAAAATCTGTTGATTCGTGATTCTTTGATTATCGTCTTTTGTTCTTTAGGTGGTTTGACTTTGTTTGAGGAAAAACAATGTTTTAAGTTGGGGGGAGTTTGATAAGTACAAAATGTAGTTATTTTTTTATATATGCTTTGTTGCACTTATCGATTCTTTTGTTGATATTCTTTGAATAATCCCAACTTTTTATGTAAATATGTATAAATTGTGTTTAATCGTGTTTTTGTGTATATAGTGCACCGTTTGATAGATTTAATATCTTTTTGTAGGTATTGTCGCATATTTGGAGCGTCAAGGAATAAAGTGTTAAAGGAACGACTCCAGATACACAATTTTGGAATAAATGTTTAGGAAATCCCGCTTAGCGCGTTTTGTAGAGCGTTGTGTGTGTTTGTAATGTTTTGGCAAAGAGTTTGTTTTCTGAGCCCGCTAAGCGCGCGAAGCCTGCTTAGCATGGTTGAGGTGGTTTAATGTATAATTATCAGTGCATCCCGCTGAAGCCGCTTAGCGTGGTCTGCTAAGTTTAGTTTTATAAAAAACATATTCATTTCATTTCTAGGGTTGTGGTTTTGAGGTATTTATTCTCAACTCCATAAACCTTCATTATTTATTAGTTTAGAGCTTAGAAAATAATAATGAAGCTTACATTTGAATGATTCAGGGTCAAATTTCTCATCGATTGGCGCTGACAAACCGAAAGATGTTTGGTTCCTCTTTTCTTTTTCTCTTTGTATTCTCTATTTGTTGGAGTTTGTATGTAACTTTATCTTAATTATATGTATATTTATTTCTCATGGTGTTGTATGAAACTCATTGTATACATAAATATTGATGATTGCTTGCTTTATTTGGGTTTGAGTTATTGCAGACATGAACGGGTCGAATCCAGATTTATGATGAACATATATTAGGTTCTAGACTCTAGATATAGATTTAGGCTTAATATCATTTGGGTATCGGAGCTTAATGATTCCATATTGTTTATGTTATGCTGAGAGATCACCGATGCGAGTAATATGGTCGTTGTCTCAATCTGTGTTAGGGATAACCTTTGTGTGAGAGATACATGATAATGTTAACGAGTGATTTAGGTTGAGTACTACTGGATAGTAAGTTTAAGTATTTGATAGGGTAGATGAAATGAAAACCTGAGAGTTCTCTACTCTCAGAAGAATGAATTCTTTTTCTGTTAATAACTTTAATTTCAACATTTACCTTTAAACCCATTCAAATCCAAACTCAAGAATGCAAGATTTATCGAATGAAAATTTAGTAACCACTGATCCTTGTGGAGACGATATGATAAAACTAAATAAATACTAATTTTTTGCTGCCGCTTTACCCCTTCAAAACTCTCTTATGCTAAAGTATATAAGTTTCTTAAAAGAGTTATTTGACTCATTCACCGCTCAATTCACAGCACGAAAGCAGAAACCCACCACCATTGTTGTTATTAGCATAATCTAATAGAAAAGTGAAGTCTATATGAATATTTTGACAGATTCACAAAGGTAGCATTGGAAGTAGGTGGTCATATGTCAGTTTGAAATACTCGATATTTAAGAAGGAGGCTGAATTGTATGTTTCGCGAGAAATTTGGATAGAAGGGAGCTAGTAGTCTGAATGACATGTTGTATAGGGCCTAGACCTATATTAACTATTACAGAGAACTAATAATTGAAGAAGGATAAATATGACGAGGATCAGGGAAACCCATATATATCCGAGCGAATGAGAGGGATTCCAAATGTCGATGAGAGGACAGGGACCAGATACCTCGGGCTAGGTTCTTATCATACACTCCTTTGAACATGTCAATGATGAAAATTTGGCAACAATTCCCGAACAACAACTACAAAGAATCTGAGATCAAGAATCCTTACTCGATTAGGGAATTGGCAAAGACTGATAAATCAAAGTATTGCAATTTTCACAAAGTCACGACAGCAACAATAACAAATGCGTCCACTTGAATGGTGCGATAGAGGAGCTAATCAAGAAGTGGCGGCTAACCTGATACACTCATGAGAAAATCCAGAAGGAAGATCAAGGCAAAAGGAAAGACAACAAGAAAATACGGTCTCTCCAACGTGAAAATGAGCCCCCAAAGACAATTGTTGAGGTCGTTAGCAAGGCTATAGAAAAAATGACGACATCAGTGACAAAGAAGAAAACCCGAAAGGAAAGATTCAATACATCTTATCTATCACCAGGGGCATTCCTCGACCAAGGAACCCCTCCAAAGGTTGAATGAAAAGAAGATTCGTCGAGCTGATAGGGGTTGGCAAGGAGGAGGAAGCAAGCTCTAAAAGAAAATCGTAGAGAACTATTCTCAGATTTTGAGATAGTGAAAATGTAAGAGGAATCTCAAATGAAAATTTTCATTTGATCATAAGAGCGACCATAGCCATCATTGACGTGTCTAGAATCCTCATCGATGGGAAAATTTGTTGTGCCATAATGTAGGTGAAACTTTTCGAAAAACTGAAACTAAAAAGGAATAAGTTGTGGCAATCTGATGAAGCCAAAATACAAACTTTCTATACACACCCTTGAGAATATATTGAGCTAATGATCATCTCGAGTGAAGGGAGGGACACAAAGACGATAGGCGTGTAGTTCTTAATGGTTCTTTGTAGAAGCAACTAAGAGCTAAACCAATAGCATTAACCAGCTTGTCATTCAAACTACGAATGATGTTACAGTCTCTTCATTTTTGTATCACTAATAACAGATAAATAAAATATTAATAAATAAATAAAAATCTTGCTTATTTTTATTATTGGGATGTTTAAAGTTATTATATTGAAAGAAAGGAGAATAATATTATAATCTAGTTTTTTATTTGTTTATTTTTAAAACACAAATAAATAAAATTATTAATAAATAAATAAAAATCTTGCATCATTTTTATTATTGGGATGTTTAAAGTAAATATATTTAAAAAAAGGAGAATAATATTTTAATCTAGTTTTCTATTTGTTTATTTTAAGAGCTTGTGAATCTTTGACTTTTGTATATTAAGTAATATCTTATATTTTGAAAAGCTCTCAGAATTATTTTCACAATTTTACACACATTATGTATTTAAAAATCAATTTAACGATCAAATGTTTAGAGTCTAAAAAGCTTTAATACGACACATTCATCTAGAATTTTAAGACAATATCACATCTCTTATAATTTAATATTTTTTCAATTCTTAATTGATGTGAAACTTTAATACTTTCACACTTAAAATCTAACACATTATAATAGTTTGTCATGGTGAAATCATAAATAAATAAAAATTTTAATTGTTTGGTCAGTTTTGATCTATTGTTAATAAACTTAGACTCTTCAAAAACATAAGAGGGCTATCATAAAGTCAACAATACAGTGATGGAATAGAAAAATTAACATAATATTAAGATGGCAATGGAGTTACTTATAAATTATCATGTTATTTCAATAATAACATTAAATCAATTTTGAAATATATAAGAAGCATTGTATATGTCTTTAACTAAGAGTATAGTATATTCAAACTTCATCACCACTCCAATTATTCTTCACCTTTGGACCTGTTGGTCCTTCTTCTCCCAACACTTCTTTTGGTAAACTCCTAATAATATTTTCAAAAACATCTTTAAGCTTCCATGGCAATATCTTCTCCACCTTCCTCAACTCCTCATCTAAGTCATAATCAATTTTTGGACCCCATTCCCTAAAATAGTTCAACCAAGATGGCTCTACAACAAAAGGCTCCAAATACTCAGCAGAAACCAATACAAATTTTCCCAAATCCATAATCATGCTACTCTTAGCACTATCATTTCTAATCCCTATCCCATTTTTCCCTTGTAGAACTAGTCCTTCATGTGGATATGAAGCATGACCATGCAATGAAGAATAAAAAACTGGCCTATTACTGTTGTTTTCACTTTGAAACTCAAGCTGAGAAGAATCAATCCATTCACCTTTACTATGTTGTGAAAAGTAAATTTTCCATAACTTACCATCCAAGTTACTTATCCTTAATGTCACATGCTCCCAATCACCAACATGTTCACCTATTTTCCCTAATTTAATATCTATAAACTTTACTTTTGCTCTCCCAGGTCCATTGAAAGGGTAAAATATCCACATTGCAATATCAGTGAAGGTTCCTCCAAACATTGGTTTCACATGTACATAAGATTCTGCACTTTGTAAATTTCCTTTTTTGACTCTATCTTTATTTGCATCATCAGCAGGTAGGTCAAGCCAATAAGTACCATCATTGTTAGGCTCCTGAGGAAGGTTAATTCCGTATTGCGCTATTGGAACGGGATTTGATTCTTCACCTTTCTTGTATAGTAATGCTCCATTGGAGAAGAACCAATTTACCGAGGAAGGTAAGTATTCTTCGTCGGGATGCATGTACATCAATGGAGAGTAAGCTTGGAGAATGGAATTAATTTGAAGTAAATTCGGCATGATTTTTGAAATGGAATTGAGATTCTTCAAACATGAAATTGATGGAGGGCTAGTTTCGCCACCATTCTGTGCAACGAAAGTGCCAACGCTAACACCGGGCGCTTGAGTTCCTCTATTGATTGGTCTAACATCGAAGAAACTGACATCGTTCGATCCCCAAATCCACGAGGAAGACTCACATTGGTCAGTTAAATCTGATCTAACACACTTGATTTTGTCAAGAGAAGGTTTATCTTGTGTTGTTGTGACAACATGGCCTAAAGCTTTGTATCCATCAGGTGCTATTGGTAGCCAAATATAACATGTGCTATCTTGAGTAACCTTAAGAGATGAAGTGTTGAATACAAGTGTATAATCAATTGGTTTCTTTAAAGTACTATTGCTTGTGCTTGAAGAAACATCCTTTGCAACAAGAACATATCCAAAAAGAGGTTTGTTGTTAGGTTGGGAGTAGCTACCTAACATAGAGAATCCTTCAGGTATTCCTGTTGGTTCAAACACAGTAGCACCTTGATTATCTTGTCCACCATCATAGGTAGCCCAAATTTTGTTAAATGTTGATACTTGAGATACTTGTATCCCTCCAAGATCAATGATTCCACTTGCAAAACCACTACCTGTATATATGGAAATCCAACACTAACTATGATTATGTGTCCATTTTTTTAACATGATGTAACAAGAGGAGTTAAAATGATGAATACCTGGTGGCCAATTAGTTGAAACAATTGGAAGCTTGAATATGGTGTCGACGGGCCGCGATCGGGATTGTTTTCTCTTGAAGAGATTTACTACAAAACATGATGAAAAACAACTATCCATTATCTGAGTTTTCAAGACAATATTGTGTAAATCTACATGGAAGAATGAAGCATTTATGTATGAAATAGAGATTTTTGCAAGAAATGTATTCCTTTAAGGACAAAAGCGTGAAGATAGATAACTCATTCTTGATATATTAAAAGAAAACACAATGGATACGCTAATGGCGTGTCGTACAAGGTAACAAGTTTGGATACATTGATAAAGCTTATAAACATTGCTCAACTTCGCTTACACACTAAGTTGTTGGTTAAAGGACTTGCTTGTCTTGTTTATCTTACACATCTTTGCTTCTAATGAGGTTGGTTAACAAGTATACACAAGTGTGTTGTAATTGTATCCACTTGACATTTATAAAGAAAACAAAACACCTTTTAAGTATGTTTTTGCTAGTTATGTTGCTTATGAAATTCGAACGCTCAACATCTTTATTAATTCACTATTCAATTCTTCTACTACAAACCATCAAATCAACATTATATTGCCTTGTGTGGAATGTTGTGATTTTTTGAATTAACTATTTTTAAAATAAGGGAAAGAACTTGTGCAAAATAGAGTAATCTGATAGTATGATTGAGATCATATTTTTTTGTTATTTATGTTGACCGGTACTAAATAAATAAATGAAACTCTTTTATTGCCAATTTTAGTTTTCAAAAGAAATAATAGAACATTATAGGCTGTGTTTTGGGCCGACATCAACTCCGACCATCTATTAAAAAGTGGATCCATTTCTTCCAGAATCTTTTCAATATACAAAGATTATCATCCTAACGATCATATGAGATCTCTACTGTAAATATATCCAACGGATCTCCGCGAATCATGGCTAACAAATAACTAATTTGTTATTTCAATCACTCTCTACATATAGAGAAGACACCAAATTTAGGTAACAAGTTTCAAATTCAATTCCACTTCACTCTTCTTTCTCATATACTGACTTGAGCATTGGAGTGCTAATGTTGGAGGTGTCTCCACTCCGCCATATCGGAAGCTACGATCCATCATCACTGTCGTTCCTCTTCTCAATTTTGGTTCCAGAATGGAACAATGACTCTGTCTGTGGGAATCGTCTTATGATTTCTATGTTTTCTACAAATTCATATTCTCTCTTAAAATTCTCAGTTCGCAACCTCCTTCGATCACCTGAGCAAAAGGGTTCACAATCAAACACGAGGATCCATCGCGTCCTGATTCAACCAAAAATAATTTCAATATCGCTTCCTCAAATTTTTAGATTTCCAGTCCTTATAATTTTCAGTGATGGTTGGATCTAAGGCTACCAAATCTGTCGTTGTGGGAAAAGTTGATGTCGTTGCTTTAGCAACAAGTAATCCTCCACCTCTTCCTTTGCTGCAAAACATTGTAGATCCTGGAACAATTGTTCCACTGCATCCAGATCTGGTTCGAGCTTCGCAATTGGCTAGATATATTCAAGTTACGCCAATACAAACTCCTACTTCACCTCCGATTACGCAACCTGAAACCTTGCCTGGCCTCCACATTCTACAAGCGAACCTCGGCATGCAAGGTGCTAACAAATTATTGAACATGTTTAACATGGTTCGACAACAAAATTCACACTATCTTAAAGTTAGGCTTTAATGCTTGGATGAAAGCCTTCAAAATGCTCCCTCCATCAAGAATACAATTAAGAATTTTCTTATGGGAAGACTCATGTTGTTGTCTAGGAACTAGTGAGAACAATGAAATACGAGGCCTCTCAATGAAACGGCGGGCGTAAGAGCAAGAAGAAGCAGACCCCGCCCCTCAAAACCTAGGAGAAGACCGGGGAAGTCAAGCTCATTCTCTTGCTCAAGAAGAAACTCTCTTGAGGAAGGTACAATCAAGGCACACCTAACAAAAAAGGAGATCCTGACAAGCATGTGCAACTTGTGAATAACCGTTTAAGTTACTTTAGTGTTGATAATGCATCCAAGTGAAAGTCATTTGTATTAAGTTTGATCGGGTCTACCTGTTGTGGTTCAATAATCTTCCTGACGGAAATATTAATTCTTGGGCGGAGTTCCGTGAGAAGTCTTCTGCATATTTCAAAACTTGGAAGAGACGACTTATTACTGAACCTGCCTTGAGCAAGATTATTCATGGAAAACAAAAATGTTGTGGGCATATATATATATATATATATATATATATATATATATATATATATATATATATATATATATATATATATATATATATATATATATATATATATATATATATATATATATATATATATATATATATATATATATATATATCGATTCTCATAGGTATTTATTGAGATAAAAAGGACTCAAGAAGGTCTTCAGTGTTGGATCTTTGAGAAAGGCCTTCTGAGAGACCACCCTTTCAGGCAAAATTTAGGGAAGTGGAAGGTAAAATTTGTCCATTAAATGTTAAACATGGTTGAACCTTACACGATCTTGGAAGAGAAACTAACTATACATTTTGACAACCATGCCTCCATCAAATCTCACTTTAGTCGTCCAACCAGGAAGGATTCCCAAAGGCGTCAAGATGATCTGATCGGAGTATTGTGGGAATGTATGACAAATACACCCCCATGACGGTCTCTCGTGATATGATTTATCAAGACTGTATAAACACTAAATTATGGAAACATGAATCTGACCCTTTACCCCCTTAGGGAGACATCTCAAATGAATAAATCAAAATACTACCGCTTCTACAAGAGCCACAAACACAACACTGATGATTGCATTTACTTGAAAGATGCCATCAAAGAGCTGATCAAAAGGGGTCAGCTAGATGAGTGTGTAAATGGGTGCAAGCGGGATAAAGGAGTCACCTAAGGGTAAATCTCCCTCGAAGAACGAGATGGCCGAAGTAAGTGGAGAAAGTAAGGAGGCAAGTAAAGTCAAGTGTCCTTACATCGTAGCCATAACTTGGAGAAAACTTTCCCTTCAAAGGTACCATGAAAAGGAAGATAACATAGATGATGGTTGTAAAACCCTTCTAAATCTACATACATTTCGCATATATTTACGAAATAAAATCAAATAAAATCACCAGCAGGGGTTTCATATATTCATAAAAGCACTATATAAAGCATCCTGCTTCGTAACACGTGTTTTCAAAATATTTTGAACAACTACTTCTTCAAAATCATCAAGATTAGATTCAATTTATCGCAACGGAATCATAGTCTCAAAAACATCTCTATAAAAATACTTCAAGTAACTTTATCACAATTCAATTGTGTTTGGTTCACAAATCAAAACATTCCAAATACCAAGAAGATACAATCAAAATCTCAAAATAAACGAAAGAACACCATAGTTTCAAAACAAATGTTCCCAACCCCGATGTTACATATCAGAGCAAGACCTTTTAAAATTAAAAAAATAATTAAATAACACAATTCGAAGCTAATCCTCTAAGCTTCAATGCTTTAATCCTAATCACCTGCAAGTTACCCACGTATAAAGACAAAATTTCCAAGAAGAAAGGGAAAGTAATCATAATCGTTATAAAAGACATAAGGAATAGAAATAGTAGTTACAACACAATAGCAAAGCATCACACACCATCAAAACTTCATGTTATACTCACACCTTCACTTCATTATATATTCATAACATCATCATATCATCAGTCAACAATCATCACTATAACATAATTAGTTCACACATTCGCTAAACATCACGTAATCAAATATTATGCAATGTCACAAAGAATGTAATGCAACTTCATTAGACTCATGCATGTGGTACCAAAACTTCACTGATGACTCAGTCATTGTTTCTCCAAAGATCACCACCAATAGGATCAATTCCTGCTTAGAACCAGAGCACAATATAATATTGCACTCAATCCATACTATGGGATTAAGGTCATCATTGTACTATCATCCTATCATCATCACTGGACAATTTGTCCTAACAACATCACTGGACCGAAGCCCAAAAATATGCCATGAATACATGATGTGCAACAACATAATAAACATGACCACTGCTAGTCAAAATGCATCATCATCCATGAATACATCACATGTCATCAAATATATTGTAATACACAAAGCATCATCATAACAAACATTAATCCATCACACACATACATCATGTTGCATCAATCGCATAATCACATTAGTTCATCATAGTATAAACACATTTCATCATTTAGGATCTAGTTTAATACTAGTAAGGTACTGGAAAGATACATCATATGAATCATTTTATTCCACCAAAGCATATTACGTCAAGTTAGATTCCTAACGCTTCGAATGACGCATCAAACGGACTTCCAAAACTCAAGTTAATGCATGTTGAAGTTTCTGGCAAACACCCCTCGCATGAGGCTCGTCCGGCGAAGCAACTCGCTTGCCTGAGGCTTGCTCGACGAGACTGGGGAGAAAATATTTCCCCCGTACAAAATCCAGGAGAGTTGTTTTTCCTTCATTCACACTCTCCTGGCGAAGCTATTCGTTCGTGTAACACCTCGAATTCTAGATTAATTATTTAATTGTTTAATTTAGCGTGATTACATGAGTCAATGTGAAGTGTTTGATGTTTTGATAATTATATGTGAGCCTTTATGGTAATTTGTGAGATTATGATGAATATAATGAATATGATGTGTGATGGGTTACTATGAGTATTATAGTGAGAATTAGCCTAATTAAGAGGATTATTAGCATTATGGAATAATTAGAATTATTGTTTAGAATTATTTTAATTGGGAAAAATAAAATAATAGAAGTGTAGAGAAAATAAGGGCAAGATGGTACTTAGTGAATAATAAGTAAGGACAAGGTGGGAAGTTTGATATTAGATATCTAAGGGTTATACAAGGAATTAGGGGAAAAGAATGTCATTATGGAACGTTCGTAGAATTGGGAGAAAGAAACTGACATTGTGGAGAAAGGAGGCTAGGGAACAAAGGGACAAGTGATTTCGGTAGAGAACCAAAGAGAATTTGAATTGATGTTATAATCTTAAGGTAAGGGGAATTTTATCATTGTTATT